ACAATAAACACATACCTATTTGATCACATGTGTTACTGGTGATCGTTTGCAGAAGAAAACTTATCACAAATTGAGAATGTAAATGTACACGAATATCACTTCGATACCTACAACGCAAAGACACGTACTTCTACGACCCGAGGAAAGACTGACATAGTTCCAAGCACCGATTTTAAACACACGTAGTTCTGAGGCCTTCGGCAAGACTCACGTAGTTCCTATCTATTTAACCAAGAAGTACGTGAGTCTTGCTGAAAACCTTAGAACTACGTGTGTTTGCAATCGGTGTTCGGAACTACGTCAGTCTTCTCTCGGGTCGTAGAAGTACGTGTCTTTGCGTTGTAGGTATCGACTTATCTAAATATGAAATTAATGAACACACATAAATGTACCACACATGTAAATAGATTTGCAAGGGACCTAATGTTTGGTAACTTATAACTCAAAATGTGTTTGGAAGTTCATCACTTTGCCATGGCAATGGCCTTTTAATAAAAAGTTCCATGAATTTTTCTCTGACCTCTTCTTCACCATCCTCATCAGCACCTGGTATCTCTTGACGAACAAGTGTCTTCAAAATGGACTTCTCTGTCTGCTTGCATTCATTCCTCCATCTCCCTTTCTTCAGCTTCCCATTGCTCATGTACACATCACCATATCCAGGTGGCAAATACAGTTTCTGTCTAGGTGGAATGCTATCTTCCCTGATCAGATGTATATTAGGCAGCGCAACAGAGGCAAGAATGATGTTCTGTGCTAGGGTTTCACTTGCAATAATATTTGTTCGGAATATCCTGAAGCGGGCTGCTAGGATACCAAACGCATTTTCACACTGTAAAAAATTTTGAGAGAATTTTACTATAAAAAGTCTTGGAATACTAGTTGCCAAGAGTTTTTATGGTAAAATTACTACAACTTGTAATTTTACAAGATTTGGTAAATATTTTTACAAGTATTATGTTGTTAACATTTTACAAGTCAAGACTAGTAAAAATTTTACAAGTAAAGTATGGTAAATTTTAGACATGAAAAGTCTGGTAATTTTACATGAAATGTTTGGTATTTTAACCAGACTTCTTTGTAAACTTTTACGAGACATCTGCGGGTGAGTTTGCAAATGTTTGGTTAAACTGGTATGCAGGCCAATGATGGTATTGGTGGTAACAAATGAGACAAAAGTTAAGCAACTAAACAACAGATTTATTTTCTTTCATGACCACACACTTATTTACCATAACAATCAAGTTTTATTATTGCCACTGCAGTCTTCATGCAAACATTGAAACGGTGAGCCCTAAAGTTACTCCGACATACATCTATTTCCTAATCATAACGGCATTTCTTCAGAGTAGATTAGCTTTTAGTTCAAGCAATATGCCCTGTGGTATAAATAAGAAAGAAGTGCTTTAGTACTTGAGAATTTAAACAGTAATAAATTAAAAACAATCATATATATTTTTTAACCTAAACATACCATTTTAACTCAGATGCAATAATGCAAGTAGAGTCTTCATTATATAAGTTGAACGTTGAGGACCAGAAGGACTGCGACATTCATCTCATACTTTCAAACACAGCGTGAAGACTTCAGAAGTCCTTTACGTTTACTTGCAGCACTGACCTGAGGTAATAAAAGAGAATAAATGCTTCAGTATAGATAATACTAAAAAACAGTATTAGATAAAAGAGAATTTTGAGTTTTAACCTACACATACCATTTGAACTCAGTTTGCAATCCTGCAACTAGAATCCTCATTACGTTATCTGAATGTTGAGGATCAGAGACTGCGTTGTCCATCACATACTTCCAAACATAACGGAAAGTGTTCGGAGTTCCTTTGTGTTCAAATCCAGCACTGAAGTAAGGTAATAAAATAAAACACATGTTTTAGTATTCATAATACTAAGAAACAATTTCATATAGAATAAAGAATACAAGTTTCAATGCAGACTCACCATG